GATGGATGGATGGATGATGGATTTGGTGAGAATGGGGCCAAATCCCGCTGGGGCCAGCCATCAGAGATGTTCCCAAGGTTCAGAATTGGATCCAGCCCTGTTCAGTACCTTTATCCATGATCTGGCAAGGGGGTCAAAGGCACCCTCAGTGAATTTATGGACGGCACCAAGGTGGGAGGGACCTGGATCTGCTGGAAAAAAGTCTGGAGCTCCAGGAGAGGCTGAGGGAGCTGGGAAGGGGCTCAGCCTGGAGAAAAGGAGGCTCAGGGGGGACCTCCTGGCTCTGCACAACTCCTGACAGGAGGGGACAGCCGGGGGGATTTGGGATTTCTCCCAGGGAACAGGGACAGGAGGAGAGGGAACGGCCTCAGGCTGGGCCAGGGGAGCTCAGGGTAGACAGCAGCAGGAATTTCCCCATGGAAAGGGTGGGCAGGGATTGGAAGTGCCCAGGGGGTTTGGATCCACATCCCAAGGAACTCCTGGATGTGGCACTGGGAGCTCTGTGCTGGTGAATAGGGTCAACTCAATGATCCCAGAGGTCTTTTCCACCCTCAGGGATTTTGTTATCCTTGGGGATTTAGGGTTAAAATCAGTCCTTTTTCATCCTTGTGGGGCAATTCCAGCCAAATTTTCAAGGATTTTTGGGGAAATAAACTGCAGGGAAGGAACCCTTAGATCAGAGGTAACAGCTCTCACCTTTCCCCCTTCCAGGTGATCCGAGGGAACAGCATCATCATGCTGGAAGCTTTGGAACGAGTATAAACCCCAGGAAAACCCCAAACCCCCGACCCACAAGTTCCTCTCCCTTGTCCAAGACGCCGCTCACGAGTGTACAATTATTTTGTTTTTGTTATTAAATCAATTTTGTAATGATTGATCTAACTCAGGCCTTACTCACGTCCCTTTTTGGGAGCTGGATGTTAATTCTGCTCCCAGTCTCAGGAAAACTTTAATTAATTGAGGAGCCTGTTAGCTTTGTGCTCTTTTTGGTGGTTTTCTCCTTAAAAAATACTCAGGTTGTTCAATTCTTTATTAACTCCTTCATACCTCAACACAGTGATGGATATTGGTGGGTTTTCCTCTTCTCCCACCCATTTTGGCAGCTCCCAGTTTCCACCCTGAGGAATAATTCCTTAGCAGACCCTTAGGAAAAGTTGGGCCAGAGGGATGGAGAGCCAGGAAATCGATATTCCCAGCTGGAGGGCACTTTTGGGGTCAATATGGCACTTTTAATGAATTCCCTAATCCCAGACAGGGTAAGTCAAGGAGTTTGGGGAAAACTCAGGAATTTGCACGATGAAAATGTCCCATCTTACTTGGGAACACCTCAGTGCTCCTGTCCCTTCCTGAGTTGGCCAAACAGCTTCCAGGGAGGGAGGTCAAGATGAGCTATTGGGTAGAATTTTGTCATGGAAGGAAGGGTTGTCCAGCCTAGGTCAGTGGTGGAGTCACCATCCCTGAAAGTGTCCAAAGAACACAAGGACACGGCACCTGAGGACATCATTAATGGTGAACACAGTTGGGCTTGAAGGTGCTGATGACCTTGAGGGTGCTGATGATCTGGAAAGGTTTTTTTATGAAGATCCTGAAGGTCTTGCAGGTTTTGATGTTTTTGAAGGTCTTGATGATGTTGGTGGTCTTGAAGTTCTTGAAGCTCTTCCAACCTTAAAGATCTCATGATCCTGTGAAACACCTCCTAGGAGGGGCAAAGTACAGAGTTCATTAATGTTAATTATGGAAGGTCTTGATGGTCTTGAAGCTCTTCCAACCTTAAGGATGCCAAGATCCTACGAAACATCTCCTTGGAGGGGCAAAGCACAGAGTTCATTTGTGTTAATTACTTGTCTGTTAATTGGCTGTCTTGAAGGTCTTGGTCTTAAAGGTCTTGATGATCTTGAAGGTCTTAATGATCCTGAAGGTCGTGAAGGTCTTGATCTTGAAGGTCTTGATCATCTTGAAAGTCTTCCAACTTCAAGGATCCCACGATCCTACAAAACACAAAGTTCATTGGTGTTAATTACTTGGTCATTAATTGGTTGTCTTGAAGGTCTTGATCTTGAAGGTCTTGATGATCCTTGAAGGTCTAGAAGGTTTTGATGTTCTTGAAGATCTTCCAGCCTTAAGGATCCCATGATCCTATGAAGCACCTCCTAGGGAGGGGCAAAGCACAAAGTTCATTGGTGTTAATTACTTGACTGTTAATTGGCTATCTTGAAGGTCTTGATCTTGAAGGTCTTGATCTTGAAGGTCTTGAATCTTCAAGGTCTAGAAGATCTTGGAAGTTTTTGATGATCTTGAAGGTCTTGATGATCTTGAAGGTCTAGAAGATCTTGAAGGTCTTGAAGATCTTGAAGTTTTTGATGATCTTGAAGGTCTTGAAGATCTCGATCATCTTGAAAGTCTTCCAACTTTAAGGATCCCACGATCCACACCTCCTCAGAGGGATGAAGCACAGAGTTCATTAGTGTTAATTAACCCCCGGGGGGGGTGGGTCTCAGAGCTCTGTTTTGAGCTTCTCGTGCAGGTCCTCCTGGTCGATGCTGGCGCCGTGGCCGTGCCAGCGGTGGAAGGCGAGCAGGGCGGCGTTGCGGGCGGCGATGGCGCTCATCTCCATGGCGCTGGCGGCGCGCTCCAGCCCGTTCAGGTAGTACAGCTGCTCGTGCAGGATGATGGGAGGAAACTTCTCAGGAGGGCTGTACTGGGGATACGCCAACCACGGCTTCACCTTCACCGAGTCGTAGGAGGAGAAGAGCAAATTGAGCTGCTCCTTGGTGAGCTCTTCTTTGGAAAACACCTTCCAGACGGCCGACTGCGAGAGCAGCTTCCCGCCCGTGCCCGCGTCCCCCACGGGGGACACCACGCCCAGGCTGTTGATGAACAGTTTGGGGTTGTCCGTGGTGAAAATGGCTCCCAAGTGGAAAGCCTGGGCGTCGTGGTAGCCGAAGAAGGAGGCGTTCAAGCGCCCGTGCACCAGGGTGGTGACAGTCTGGTGGTAGGGATTGGGGAATTCCGGGATGGGAGGCTGGAAGTTGCGGAAGGTGATGTTGGCCATCCTGCGGCCCAGCGGGGCGGCGATGAGCACCATGTCGTACGTGTCCCCCGTCAGCCCCGAGGACGTGTTGTAGGTGACCTGGTAGAGCTTCACTGGGTCCCCTGCAGAGAACAGCTCAGTTATCCTGATCTGTGCTGGCAGGGAATCCTGACTGTCCCTGCCATTTCAAAATGTCACGTTTGGGTTTATCAATTTGTACAGATGGGTTTTGAGCCCTGTTTTCACGGAACTGTTTGGATTGGAAGGGATCTTAGTCCATGCAGTTTTGTGGCAGGGACACTTTCCTCTATCCCAGCTTGCTCCAAACCCCATCCAACCTGCCCATGGACACCTCCAGGGATGCAGGGGCAGCCACAGCTTCTCTGGGAATTCCATCCCAGCCCCTCCCTCACAGGGAGGAATTTTCACTTCGGAAGCTCCAAGGGGCTGAGGTCAGTCTCCAGTGTCACCATCCCCTCCCCACTGAAGGGAATTCCACCCCCACTCACCGCCACGCCTGGCTCTGGTTTTTGGCTCTATGGACACAACTGTTCCGGGGATAACCTCGGCCTTGGAGGAGTAGATGAGGCCAGAGCAGACGAGTTTGTTCCCTCCTTTCACAGACCAAAGGCCTGACTGCACCCCTGCTAGGGACACAGCACCTGCAAGGAAACCAGCTCTGTCAGAACATGGAAACACTGGAAAAACAAACTGCAAAATCAGGGGGGATAAACATCCTGATAGCTTGGAGCCTAGGGAGCAGGAACCCCAACACCCAGGATGGGAGGCTGCCTCCAAACACTCACCTACAAAGCCATTGATGGTGACCCCTTGGCCATAATTCACCCTCATGGCTGGACAAACCACCTCATTGATGAATTTCTGGGAGAAGCCTGCTTTCTGCATGGCCTCATCAATGGTCTGGTTGAGCAGCAGGATGAAGTCGTTGCCTCCCAGGGCGTGGAGCAGGCGCTCGTTGGTGCTGAAGGCGTAGTCGTGCATCTGGTACCGGTAGATCCTTTAATTAGACAAGAAATTGTCTCTGTTAATGAGCTCTGTGGCTCTGGGAGCTGCAGGGAATCTCACGGGGTGGCTTGGTGGGAGCAGCAGGACAAGGGCCTGGAGGGACAGGGACAGGACAGGACAAAGAGGGGAGGTTTAGGTTGAGTATTGGGGATTTTTATGAGGGTGGAGAGGTCTTGGCACAGTTTTCCCAGAGAAGCTGTGGCTGCCATATCCCTGCAAGTGTCCAAGTCCAGGCTGGACGTGCTTGGAGCACCCTGGGATAGTGGAAGGCATCCCTGCCTGTGGAATGAGATGTTTTTAAGGCCTTTTCCCCCTCAGGACCCCAACCCACCTCATGAATTTGTCCAGGATGTCCTCCACCCACATGGACATGCGCAGGGGGTTGAGGCCATAGTGCCAGAGCAGCTTGAGGAGGTTGATGAAGGACCAGCTGCTCTCCTCAAACACAAATTCCTCCCCATTGTAAACACCAGCGAGGCTGCCCTGGGCTGAGGCAACCGAGAGGCCTTTGGGAAAAGGACAGAAAAAGGTAATTTAGGGACAGGTAGAGTTACTCCACCTCAACTTCAACTTCTGAGACACCCTTATCAGCAGAAAGCCAGGTTAAGGGATTGAAGATTGGAGGCCCAAGGCATGGAAAGGGGAATTAATTAGCCCTTGATCATGGGCCAGGGAGTGATTGGAGGTGACTTCTGGACCTTTATGATGGGTCACCTGTGGGGTAAGGAGAGACTATTTCCATTGGGATGTGGGATTCCTTTGCCTGGAGTGGGGCTGGGGTAGCACAGGGGCCATGGGGGAGGTGATGGGGGGCTCTTTGGGAAGGAAAGTGGCCTGTGGGGGAGGGATATTGGAGAAAGGCAATTACTAGGGAAGTATATGGGGGGATATTGGGAAAAGAAGGGGGGCTACTGGGGAAGAACGGGGGGGAAATAGTGGGAAAAGAAGGGAGGCTATTGGGGAAGAACATGGGGGAAATATTGGGAAAAGAAGGGGGGGCTATTGGGGAAGAACATGGGGGAAATATTGGGAAAAGAAGGGGGGGC